CGGCGGCTGCAGGGAGAGCAGCGGCACTGTACGACGATGAGCGACGAGCGGCGTCAATATGACAAGAGCGACTGTGAGTCGCACACGAGTCAACGCGTCGCATTTTCCTGTCCCTGCACTGGCAATGTCGGTAGTTGAAAAGCACCAACCAACCTTTGCACGGACCGGATGGGGCGAAAGCGGAACCAGGTGGCGAGGAAATGCAGCACTCACCACACCACACAACCTTTGCGACCGCCGCTTCCGAGAATCTGAGGGGCTGTGGGGGTTTGAAACTGACAAAGGCGCGTGTGATATTTTCTCAAGTGAAAGAAAAAGGTCTTTGAGTGGTTACCCGTTTCGCCAATGTCGCCAACATGCTTTGGAGAAGGCATGAAAATTTTGGGGGCACATAAGTGCGAATGTAAAATGTGAACTGAACTCGAATCACACGGGTGAACTTGCGCGTGCACGTTGAAGCGAGCGTGTGTTGTTTTCAGCACGTACGAAGACCATGCGAATATCGCGAATATTTCGTACCAAGATAATCAACAGTTAGGGTACATTCCGCTGTGGACACATGTCCCAATCGATGTGTCCCAATCGTTTCTACCGCACTGCATCGTACTACACCAAATTGCACCCTAGTTTCGAAATTTTCGCGTCTCTGGTTTAGTTCGGTTTGGAGCGGTACACTCGATTGGGACACATCGATTGGGACATGTGTCCACAGCGGAATGTACCCTTACATTGTGCCATTTTTCCTCTTCCAGGCTCAAGTCTACTTGCTGCCGGAGGACATATGGAAAAAGATCCACAAGTTATGCCGTACCTTTGTGTCAAAGGGAGAGGCGGTAGAGGAGAAGCGGTTCATCATCTGGAATTACACCATGGCTTGCACACCGCGGAAGGACGGAGGATTGGGCCTGATCTGCCCGGAGCGGAAAGTGGATAGCATTGCATGACGGACCATCTGTCGGATGGTGCTGAGGGCGAGCTCCGTCAAGAAGTGGCTGGCGGAAAAAGCGGCGGAGATGCCCTTGGGCTGGGACACCATCTTCGCTCACGAATCCTTGATGGGTCAATGGCTGAAGGGAAGTGCGCGGTGGAAGAAGCTGGTCAAGGGACTCGCCACTGTGCAAGCCATGAGCACCCGTGAACGGGAGGTCGAGCGGGAACACTTGTCGTTCAACCCGAGCATCCCCTTCAGAGGAACCACTCAAGCCAGGTACTATCAGAGGCGTGTAAAGAAGGCGAGCTGCTCCCGCTGAAAGGAATCAGAAAGGTGCTAGCAAGCTCGGCTGGCTCGAAGGAGAAACAAAGGAGGTGGGAAGGGCAAGGGAGAGAGATCGAATGGGACAGAATCATCGAGTAGAGGGATTCACTCGCCACCCGACGGCGGGCACGTGAAATTCTTCTGAGGCTACATTGCAGGAACCTTCAGGTGGGCTCGAGGCTATTTTTCATAGGGGTGGTCTGCCCGCACTACAGAGGAGAAGAGACGCCTGAGCATTGTCTTCTCGGCTGCCTGGTGGTGCAGGAGGTGGTGATTTTTCTGAGGCGAGGGTTGGCGGCAATGAACCCGGAGCTAGTGTTGCAGGATCTCGAGGACCTGCTGTTCATGCAAAGGAGTACAAGGAAAGGTTTTCTGGAGGGAGCATGGGTGGCAACCGTGCTGCACCAACTATGGCTAGCGAGGTGCAACACGACATGGAGGAGGGAGGCTTTCCAGGCTGGAAGAGTGATCCGGCAGGCGGTGATAAACTTTGTCGCGCATGCACGGGTGTACTGCTTGGCGCGGGAGGGGACAGCGCGGAAGAAAGGATGGGTGTTGGATAGTGGTGACTGGGCACACCTGGCAGCCGACGAGGCAACGGTGATGCGGTGAATCTGCAGCAGCGGCGCACCGCTGACGTGGAGGATCAGTTTCAGCTCAATTTGGGACAACCCGAGGATGACGCATCAGCCACCGTAGCTGCGTTACAGGGAATCTGCAATACTACTTATTGTAGCGCTCTCCTCCCAGTTACGACTGCCGATGTCTTAGCACTCATGTAATGTATAAGATATCTAAAAAAAATCTCGAATATTTCGTGAAGGTCGCAGTATGTTGACGTGCCGCGCTATACCAGGTAACCTACATGTGAAAGAATGAGGAATGAATGAACTAGCACAAGGTTGGGCACAAGTAGGAAACCCTAGGAAACTGTACCCCATAGTGTCTACCCCACTATAGCCTAGACAAGCTATATGATATGAGTTTGACACACCCCCATATGCAAAGTGGGGGAGAATAAGAGGTCACAAGACCAGTCAAGCAAGGCAAAGCAAGCTCAGGGTGGATCACAACGTCACCACACAATCCGAGCACAAGAGCAAGGCCACAAGACCAGTTCACATGCAAGATCATATATAAAGGTAAACAAGCAAGTGCAGGTATAGAAAGATCACAGTACAAGCAAGGTCAAGAAGTGAGCAAGCGAGGCCAGGTAGGCACAAGACCTAGCATCGTACAGAAACGCTAATGATCACCAGGCGGAAGTGCCTTGGTAAAGATATCAGCCGTGTTGGCCTCAGAGGCCACGTAAGCAAGGCGCAGCTGACCACGCTGCTGCAGCTCACGAGCAAGGAAGTAGCGGAGAGCAATGTGCTTCGCTCTGTGCTCCAGTTTGTGCTCCCGACACAAGGCCAGCATGGCCTTGTTGTCTACGTACAGAACTGGAGGAGAACGAGGCGGCTCTCCTAGTTCAGTCAGCAGGTAGGTGAGCCAGCGTAGCTCCTGTGCAGCCATGGCCCCTGCGTAGATCTCAGCCTCACAGCTGGAGCCGAGAACAGAAGACGAGCGGGTAGACCGCCACGAAACAGAGCCGGAGCCAAGGCTGAAGGTGTAACCCTGTGACGACCGCTGCGTAGCCTGGTCGTCAGCCCAAGAAGCGTCTGCGTGACCTGTGAGGACCACTCGACGTCGCCCTCCAAGCACTAGCCCCATGCCCGACGTACTGCACAAGTAGCGCAACACCCTCTTCGCTACAGCCATGTGCTCTGGTCGGTGTCTCCCAGGAGCAACATAGCGTACCAAGATGCTAAGAGGGTATGCAAGGTCAGGTGGAGTGCAGGTCATCACGTACATGAGGCAGCCAACAAGCTCTGGGTACGGGCCGCTCGGCTCTACGGACTCATCCGAAGGCAGAGCTGAGAGCGAGTGGCGAGTAGACAGAGGAGTGGCCTGAGGCGAGGAGTACGTGAAGTCGAAGCGCTCAAGGACCTGCTGCACCATGTGTGACTGAGTCAGGGTAATGGTGCGCTGTGCTCTGTTGTCACATGATCGAATTCTCAATCGAAACTTGTCACTAAAACTGAATACAAGGCCTATTTATACTCAGAAAGTACAAGGATAAACGAGATAAAACGAACCTTCGGGAACACACCCTTCCCGATACTATAATCACAAGTGCGCACAAGCACGCAAGGCTATTGGCACTTGGGATTACGCCCAGATTACACCGTATACACCACTGTCGGCGCTGTCGGTGCCGTATAATAGGTATGTCGGTGGGAAAAGTAGGAAATAAGAGAAATAAATAGAAGGCTCTAGAAAATAGAATAGTAGGCCGATTGAGATGAGATAAAGACCAAAATAAAGAGGAGAAAAGGGAGAATAGGATAACGGAAAAATATAATAGTGAGAAAATATTATAACGGGGACGTCCTCTCACACTTCCCCCCCTCAAAGCTGGGTGGTAGAAGTAACACCCTGCTTGACAAGGTAGTCCTGTAGAGGACGGCGGGCGTTATCCATGTCGTGTTCAGGTACCCAGGTATCCTCGGAAGGATCATAGCCTTTCCAACGAATCAAGAGCTCCAAGGTGCCGCTACGTCGTCGTTGGTGCGCCAGAACGGCGTCGACTTCGTACTCGGGTTCCCCATTAACGATCACTGGCAGTGGCGGCGGCGGCTGGCGACCTTTGAAGACCGTGTTTGGGTCCCGATAGGGCTTGAGAAGTTGAACATGGAAGGCATTGTGAATTCTCCAGGTAGCTGGTAAACGCAAGCGGAAGGTTATTGGAGTGACCTGCGCCTCGACGAGAAAAGGTCCGCAGAAGCGAGGTCGGAGCTTAGACGGAAGATGGCTAATGTCGAGATTGCGTGTATCCAGAAGCACATGATCGCCAATCTGGATGGAATGATCGTTGCGACTCCGATCAGCGAGCTTCTTTTGTTGCTGCTGGATAGTCAGAAGACGTTTATGCGTGCGCTCCCACAATTGGTGCATAGTGGAAATGAAGTCATGTGCGGGTTGCACCGTGGCGGGTATTGTTGGTTTCTGAGGCGTGAGTGGGTTGCGACCGTAACAGAGGAAGAAAGGAGTTTGCCCTGTTGCGACGTGCGTGGCGTTGTTATACGCAAACTCGAGAACCGGCAGATGTGCATCCCATTTAGAGATATCGTCCTTACACGCTGCTCGCAGAAGCTGTTCGACAATCTGGTTGAGGCGCTCTGTCTGACCATCCGTTTGGGGATGATAGGCTGAGGACATGGCGAGTTTGGTCCCCATGAGCGACATGAGCTCCTTCTTGAACTTACTCGTGAATTTCGGGTCTCTGTCGGAGATCAACGTGGTTGGAATGCCATGTTGCGTGATGACGTAGCGGAAGAATATTTGCGCTGTCTCCTCGATGCGAGCCGTTGTGTGTGTCGGAATGAAGTGTCCCATTTTAGAGAATTTGTCGATGACGACTAGAATGGTGTCGTAACCAGCTTTGGAAGGTGGTAACCCGGTGATGAAGTCGAGGCTAACCACTTGCCAAGGCTGTTCAGGGACTGGAAGAGGCTGTAGTAATCCTGCTTTCTTCTGTTTGCTGCTCTTCATCCGTTGGCATGTGTCGCACGAGGTGACGAATTTTTGTACGTCATCTGCCATGTGGGGCCAATAATAATGCTTCGCAATACCGGCAAGCGTCTTGTTACTACCGAAGTGGCCCGCGTAGAGAACATCATGATATTCTTCGAGCAGTAACTGG